CCTTGGCAAACTTCAGCTGCTTTTGCAGACCAGAGAGGTCACTCTGCCATGACTCATTGAAGATTTTGTCATAGCCCTGGCTTACCACACCCTATTCCTAACAAAACGTGCGTCTCCTGGCCTAGGGCCTTCTAGTCTAAATCATGTAAGGCAAGTATTGCAACGCGCTCCAACCCTCCCCCTGAAACAGAGCCAGCGTGCGGGCTGAGGACATGAGAAGAACAGCATACCCAGGACCCTTCCGGGTAGTTTTCTGTAAACACCTCAACCGCTGCCCCCACCAGCGAAGCACAAGAAACACATTCCCTTTCCCATTCTTCTCCCCAGAAGAAAAATAGAGGAAGAGTAAAGGTATGTGGTATATGATTACATTTGGAGTGGAAAAACCACATTTTGCTCCCCAGCCCTGTTCCCTGGCCCAAGCTGGGCTCCCCTCCTGCAGACTTCCCAGAGCTCTCTGTGTCCTGTGGAGGGGGCACTCTTGGCCTCCTGCCATATCTGAGCTGTCACCTGCTCCAGCCCAAGGAGGAAGGGCGCTTTGTGGCTCCGAGGGACCCACCGGTCCAGAGAGTTTAGGAGGCTCAATTTGCCTCTGAAATGGGCACCGTTCACCAGGAGGCCCCCCAATTCAGCCCCTTTTTAAGGAGTTCTAACTCACGGTGAGCAGAGCTCACTGTAGACTTTTAGCTGGAGTCTGGGAAATGTTGCCCCTCTCAATCCACACACACCAGGGCAGCATTTCTTGGGGCCTGAGGGTGGAAACTCACCCCCCACCCCACCCCCCCAAAAAAAATTACCCCACAAACCAAATAAATAAATAAATTACAATAAAGAAAAAAGCTGGTCTCACTCTAGGAAACCTCCCTGCCCCCCAACCAGGGGCCCTGGCCTTGCCTGGGGACACGCCACACCTCTGAGCATCAGCCAGGCCCAGGACAGCCCTGAGGGAGGACAGGTCAGAGAGAGGAGAGGCAGACCTGCTCTTAGAGACCCTGACAGAAGACAGACCCTGCTCTCCAGCCAACCAAGGGGCGAGATGATTGGGGCAGAAAAGGCTACGGCCAGGAAACGGCCCGCTGCATCTCTGCCGGGGCACAGGGCCAGACACTTAGACCCTGGGGCCTCCTGCGGCCAGGCTGGGAGAGGTACCCACTGGCCTTCCTGCCCCGGGCTGCCGGGCCCAGGGGGTGGGAGAAGAGGGAGACGGTGAGAGCAGGTCAGAGTAAGGCAGCAGCTCGGGGGCCACCTGCCCAGGGCTGCTGCCGAGCTGGCCATGCACTGCTCCAGGGCAGCTGGCAGAGGGAGCAAACTGATGTCCAGTCCACACTCCACTAGCCAAGCCACACGCCCCGGCCCAGGGCCACATCGGCCCAGTGGAAGGGACACGCTTTCTAATTCTCACAAAGGTGCCACACGGGCTAGAAGTCGGTCCCGGATGGGGAGGGGTTAGAACAGGCGGAGCCCCCAGTTTAGTCCCTCAGCATGAAGGGAAGAGCTGAGCACAGAGACGGGAAAGACAAAGTGCAGACTCCTCCCCTCCCCTCTGCCAGGCGATCTGCTTCTGCCCTCCTTTCCCCCCAAACCTGTATGCTACCCCTTTCCTCCCCAAACTTTCAGGGACCTCAGTTTCCCAAGTTTAATGGAGAAGGGAAGAGAGTTTCCAAAATGAGGAAGAGAAGGGCCCCGTGGCTTGCCCCTCTGCTGGCGCTGGGCTGCAGTCTGAGAAGGCGGCACAAGGGGTGGGCGCGCCGGCTAGGAGCTCCGGTACGTCTTGATGATGTCCTTGATGGGGCGGCGGCAGATGGGGCAGCAGGCGTGCAGAGCCTTCTTGAGGCGCAGGCCACAGGCATAGCAGAGGCACATGTGGCCACATGTGTAGATGACCGTGTCCACTGCGTGCTCATAGCAAATGGTGCACTCATCACTCCACTGGCCCGTGCCTGGTGTCACTGGCGACTCCGGCAAGCTCACCGGCGAGTTGGGGGCTGTCCCTGGAGGTGAGGGGACACCGGTCAAGGGAGACGTGGTCCAGTCCTGCCCCAGGTTCATGGGAAGGGAGCCCCCTGGCCTCTTGTCCCCCCTCCACTTATCAGATCTACCTGTTTACTATGACACCCCAACTTCCTGGACACAAGAGGGGGGAGGTTGCGCCTTGGGCAGCCCCTTGCTGGCCCCTCAGCTCCCAGACCAGGGGCCAGAGTGTCCATGAAGCAGGATTGAGCGGGGAGGAAAAAAGGGGGCCAATATTTTTAAGGCAGGCTCCGCCTGAGATATCCTTTGGTGTTCCCTGTAAGCTAAAAATGTCCTTTGGAGAAAGGTACCCAGCTAGGGGACGGAAGGGGATACACCCCAGAAATGGACATCCAACAAGGGTTCACTAGGCCACTCCCACTCCTCCAGGGCCCCAGCCCTGATACTGGAGCTGCATGCCTTTCCTGGCCAGGGTCTCAGGGCAGGAGGTCTGGCACAGACACCATCGGCCTGGAGGGGCCAGCCCACTTACCGCCAGCAGAGCTCCCCAGAGGTCCCGAGCTGCAGGTGCTGAGCAAGGGGTCAGAGAGGCGGCTGCCCAGGGCACTGGGCGAGGTTGGTGTGGAGGCGGGGGAGCAGGGAAGTGAGGGGATGCCCCGCTCTGCCAGGATGGTGGAGCCTGTAGAAGGGGAGGGAGGGATGTACTAGCAACACAAAGGCCCGCTGGGAGAAAGCTCGAGTCTCCGTCCCTCCAGTAGGTTCCCAGGAGATAAAGTGGGGGCCGCAGTCTGAGCACACAGCCTAGCCACTGGGCTCAGGGCAGGATGCCACAGGCTGGGTCAGCATCCGGCCCCAGCTCTCTGGCGTTACATCAGCAATCTCCAAACAAGCCCCCTGCCTAGAAGCCCACCTCCACCTTTCCCCAGGCATCCTTCACCTGCAAGGTTTCCCCAGCCAGAAAACAGTCACCTTCCTCCCACCCAGAATGGCCCTTCCAGCCCTAGCCTCACCCTCATCACGTCCCGGATATCGCCCACCTTCTCCTTTGCACTGGCACCTTTAAAATGCCCCTCACCATCTCCCACACCTGTCTGCCCTACATTCTTTCCCAGGCCCTCACACCTCTCCCTCTTCTACTTCTCACCTCCCCTTCCCTCCCTCCTCCCCGCTCCCAAGTAGTCCTGAGGGCCTACCAGGTAGCATACACTGTGTGTATGTGTATAAAACTGGGGACAAGAGCTCTTGCCCTCTAACAGCTAATGATCCAGGGAGCCTCTTGGTGCTGTCCTCAAACCCGCTCCTCCTGACACCCTCGACCCCCTCTCCCCAACCACATTACCCTCTGTAGCACTGACTAGCCACACACATCACATACAAGGGGACTAAACCACCAGACTCTGGGGTATTATTTGTCCTTTTTCCAGGAACGCAGCTTTGTTTCCCCAGTTAAATCATGAGCCTCCTGCGAGCAGGTAATCTTATTCACCTGTGACTCTCTCAGGCCCTAACGCAGTGGTTCTCAACCTTGGCTGCACATTAAAGTCACGTGGGAATCTTAAAATCCTGATTTCTGGGCCTCATCCTCTCGAAATTCTGTTTCTTTGTTACTAATGTTGTGGCCCCACCCCATAACAAAGAAACAGAATTTCCGGAGGATGAGGCCCAGAAATCAGGATTTTAAAAAGATTCCCAGGTGATTCTAATGTGCAGCCAAGATTGAGATCCACTGCCAGAATGCCCTACACACCAGGACTCGATGAGATCTCTAAAATCAGTTATTTGCTCTAACCCATTTAGTCACTGTTTCTAGCATATTCATTAGATATCCACAGGGTTTCCCTTACTATTGTTAACAGTTTTCAAGTTAATTATTACCTCCTTCAGAATAATACCTCCTATTTGTTTTTCTTGCCTACAGCGCTAGCTAGCATTTTCAGAACAATACTGAAAGGCACCCTTATCAGATTCCTGACTTTAGTGAGAGCATCTCTAGTGTTTCACCATTATAAAATGAGCTATAGTTTGGGAGTGAAGGAACTTCACACTTCCCATTCTTAGTTCACTTAGGTCTTCAATAAAGCAAAGCATTCCTCCATACGGTAAATCGTTACCCTTCATACAGGGTCGCTGGTTTATTTTTCTTTTGGAGTCAGTCAGGATCCCCTAACACCAATTTTCTGGTGGGGATACCCAACCCTCCAAACAGCTCCAGAGCACCCTGTGTACTGAATTCTGAATGATTATTCTTCACCACCCATCTTGGCCCACTTACCTCCTGAGACATTTAAGTCCTGATATTATTTCTAAGCATCTTCTTTGCTCCAGTCTAGTAAGCCTCTTTGGGCCACAGAAGTCTCACTGGAAAGCTACTTATCTATTATTAGATGGTGCTGAGGCAAGAGAGTACCTTGCCCTCATGTAATTTACTTCATCTGAGGAGCAGTGCCTCCTGGTGAGTGTAGCCAAATAGCTTTTTACCTCAGCCTGATTTTCGCTGCACCTGATTTCTTTTTATTCCATCCTGAACTTTCACCCCCCAACTTCTTTCCTACGGATGTCTTTTCATCTAGCTTGATTTCTCTTCATTCATTCCTCCCTGATTTATCGTCCCTCAATCCTAACTTCTTAGCATCCCAGCCTCATTTCTTTTCATTCTTTCTAAAATGTATTTTAGCTCCATCTTCCTTTGGTTTCTGGGACACAGTAGGAAGTTCCCACTGCTTTTATCTGATTTTTGGCAACACTCCCACAATCACCAACAGCGTTGCATCCACAAATAACATACGCATTTAGGTACTCACATGTGCCCACACACAGTGTGCCAATCTTGCAGTGTAACTCATGCTCGCTCACATGCACACATTATCTTGTCTATGAAGCCTCCTGGAGTGAGGTGTAGGCTGGGGCTGTACGGCCCAGGGGTCTTTAAACTTGTCAAAGCAAACTTGCTAAAAACAGTCAGATGCCGGGGACCTATCCAAGATGTACAGAATCAACGTCTCCGAAGGTGCTCAAGAATCCGCGCTGTAGCGGGTTCTCGCAGTGAGTGTGATGAAACCAGCCCACTCTACTGCGGGCGGTTAGCAGGCCGGCACTGGAAAGCATGAATACCTGCCCACCTTGGGGTGACAGAGGTCCAGGAAATGCTTTGTAAAAAAAAATACTTTTGTTTGGAAAAGCTGTATACCATAACCACCACCACTCCCTCCTTAAAGATTCACTCTGCATATCAAAGGCTCTGAGAAGTTCTGCAGTACAGAATCCTGCTAAGCCCTGGCCGGGTGGCTCAGTGGGTTGGAGCATCATCCTGTACACCAGAAGGTGGCTGGTTCGATCCCCAGTCAGGGATTCTGTTTCTTTGTTATGGGGTGGGGCCACAACATTAGTAACAAGGAAACAGAATTTCCGGAGGATGAGGCCCAGAAATCAGGACTTTAAAAAGATTCCCAGGTGCTTCTAATGTGCAGCCAAGGTTGAGAACCTCTGCAGTGAGATCTGAAGGCCGAGGAGTCCCGCCCCAAACTCATTTCAGGTGTGTGGCTTCTCGACAACCCCGCAGGATGGGTAGCCCCTCTTCTCCCCTATCCGGATGGGCCCCCTCTTCCAGGAAGGGCTCCTGCCGGGTGTGGCGGAGTGCAGCTACAGCCAGCCTCTGGGCGCTGTGCAGGCGGCTGGCACCGAGCCAGGGGCACTCACCGAGGAGGCGGATCTGCGTTATGGCTCCATGCAGGCCGAAGAGCATCCACAGGGGCTGCGAGGCGTCCACGCACAGCTGCATGCCCGCGGCGGCGCCATTGTGGCTCAGGTGCAGCTCGCCCTCGGCGTTGACCACCAGGCCCAGGATGTCGCCGCTCTGCAGGGGCCCGGGCACGCGGCACACGGCCCAGAACTCCTTGCGGTCCACCAGGGCCTCCGTGCTGAAGGGCA